TTTATGACATAATAATAAATAATAATAAAATAAATACAAGTAGTTTAATAAGACTTTGACTGTTTTATATCTGTGTATTCTTAATTTCTCTCTCAGGAAAGGCTACAGGACTGATGCAACGGTGTCTGTTCTTCTGGGCTTCCTCCTCTTCCTCATCCCTGCCAGGCGGCCCTTCTCTTCCTCCTCTTGCTGTAAAAACTCAGGTCAGGAACAAGCACTCGAGCACCTTTGGGTTGTCTCATCAGGGCCCCATTTGGTGGCTTTAAAACATATTGAATAATAAAAAAAGGGCTCAGTGATGTTGTTCGGCTAGCTTCGTTAACATTCGTATACTACCTCAGAGTATTCTAACAGCACATTACAGATGTTGTGAGCCATTCATTTGAGATTTGGTCAAATAAATGACTTTTCAAGTGTTTGTCAACCACAAGTATTACATGATATTATTCCCCCAGATCCTGCTCTATTGACATTTTTTTCTGTCATTTTAAAATATTAGATGATGATTCAGAGTCTGACCCACTGGCTCCCATGATCACCTGGAAGGACTTCCAGAGACTCATGCCGTGGGAGATCGTCATCCTGGTTGGTGGAGGCTATGCACTGGCAGCGGGCTGCAAGGTACTACGAATATATGTCTGTGTGTTCTTGTATTGCTCTACTGCTCTGGCATCATAGCATCTGGGTAATCTGAATCTGCGATCCATTTTCACCATTATAAATTTCTTGATTACTTTGGTAGAGTTAATGTGATTTCAACATGTATCTACAAGAGACTGTAGCTATAAAAGAGAAGAATCATTTCAAATATTATTACATTAGGTAATGGTGGGGATATGAACAGCATGTAGAAAGCTGATTAATGTTGCGTGTGTGCGTAGGTGTCCGGCCTGTCAGTGTGGATTGGCAGACAGCTGGAGCCCATGAGTGGTCTTCCTCCCTGGGCGGTCACCCTGCTAGCCTGCCTGCTGGTTTCTGCGGTCACCGAGTTCGCCTCCAACCCAGCAACTCTCACCGTCTTCCTGCCCATCCTGTCTGCGCTGGTACGACATATTCTCTTTCATATCGCAACACCTGTTCCTCATTAATGATCATAAAAATGTCATAAATCATTAAAAACACTCACATAAATGACCTGGAGGATATTGAGTCTAACAGGTCTGCACTAATGTGCTGCTTGAAAATACTTTTTCATTTTTAAACCGTGCTAATTACTTCTGATGTGGGCCACGAATTTGAATAATCTTTACCAGGTGGTCTAAATAGTACTGGTTACATAACCGTTACATAAGTGCGTGCGTGTAACAGTGCAAACAATGTAAAGCTTGAGGTAAGTGGCACTGATTGTGAGGCCGGGTTCTCTTTTTATATACATATAAAACAACCTGTGTTATTTATACTCTTATACTATACTGGGATAGCAGCACAAACACATGTAAGAGTAG